AATGAAACACCACATCTGTCAGACTGTCAAATTTACTTTATTTGTAATTCTGTAAAAATGAAGAGCATTAATGAGCAGTATGCAGGAACAGGGTGTGCTGATGGAGCTGGGAAGAGAGAAAAATAAAGAAAATGAAAGATTCTGCTTCAAATCAAGTTGCAGCTCTGACAGCTCTCTAGACCAGAAAGATGATTTTGCATGATGTGTCACCCTCATTACTTGTAAGCAGTAAGTAAATCCGTTACTGAGGGACTTGTGCAGAGTACAGGGAGTTTCTCATACAGGTGTGAAAATGTTTCTTACTTAAATGTTTCTTAAATGCTTTAGTGTGATTGTTGAGTGATGATTTTTTTAGTTTGTCCCATCTGCTAACATTGTCTGTATTACCTATACTGCAGTCAGCCACCAGAGGGTGACTGATCCTTATGGTTGATGGTCTGGAGCCTGTGACATAAATTCTCAGATGCAAATGTGCAGCATGCAGTTCTGCCCTGTTTCAGTATGTCAGTATTACTTGAGTTTAAACACCATCTAGTGGTGACGTGTCATATTTTCTGGTTAAAATATTCTCCTGACCCCTGAACCTGTGCATATTGGGCCATGATTGACTTCCAAACTGATGTCACAGAATCATGTGAACACATCTCATCACAGAGAAACTCACAAGATGGATGTCAAAACAGCAAAACACATGTTTTCTTTAATGTATGGTTTACATTTATGTAGCAACTGAGAATGTGATTTGATTGTGGGGAAAATTATTATTATTACTGTAGTTTTTAAATGTTTTGTTTGATGCAGTGTGATGCCTTTAAGGCAGCTTCTCTGCTAGATAAAATACACTTGTAGTCGCCTTATTTATTGTCATTCATAATCTTTAAAAACAGTGTTGAAATTATACGTTTATTTTTATTTTTTTAACCTTTATTTAAAAGCTTTATGCTAAGATAAGCATGGCCTGGCTCCAGCTTCATATGTAGCATACAAAAGTGAGTGGTTTCAATCTTCCGATCTGTTGACAAATAACAACCTTTAAGTAATACAACAGTATTAACACGACTGTAACAGTGAATTATAGGTATAGGTACTTTTTAACCTCTTATTTTTTTAGGATTAATGACATATTAAATATTACCACCTGGCTACATTTACATTTACAGAATACTCAATTCCTTTCCATCAGAAACAAGAGACAGCAGCAAAATCTCAGTGGGCCTAAAGACAGACCAGAGTTTCTATCTGGCGTGACGACCCTCTGAGCAGGTTTCTCCCTCTAAGTTCACCTGGTCAGATTATATAGGCTGCAGGTAATCAGCCGGTCTCTCTCTCTCTCTCTCTCTCTCTCTCTCTCTCTCTCTCTCTCTCTCTCCCTTGGCTTCCACTCTGTTTGGTTTGGTTGAATTTGTTTGTCTTTAGCTTCATTTCTCTTTTAGTTTTGTTAAATAAACCTATTTTTAGTTACAAGTCATGTGTGTTCTCCCCTTCTTTGTCCAGCCTTGAGCCAGGTTGTGACACTGGCTATGTCTGTTCAAGTGAGATCTGAACTCAATTAAGGGAACCCCTAACCCTAAGGCACCAAGCTGCTCTCTGTCACTGTCAGTCCTCACAGCCTGTGCAACAGGTGATCTGAATGATCCTCTAATCCACCCAGAGGAATGTTGACACTGAGCCAAAATTAATAGGGGGAAAAAGAAGATTAAATAGCAGCAAACACTAACAACTACTGAAAGATGATGTACTGAAATGTGCAAATGAAAATTGTGAAGTCGTCCTCAGCCAGAACCTCTCTACATATCCCTCAACTTGTAGTGAGGTGTCGTGGGAAGAAAAGGAGGAACCAAACACAGGGATCGGGATTAGGGTTGAGAACTTGGCTGCACTGTATTGCTTCACAAACACAATCTTTGTCTCTGCTGCTCGATACCACAGCGGCTGCTGGCTTCATTCCCTGGGCAGCGAAAGTAAACCTTAGAAATAAATACCTTACTCAAACAATAGCTTAATACATTCTTGAAAAATAAAATGTATAATATATTACAATAAAGATAACTGCCCTGTCAAATTAAATACAGCACTCTGAGAACAATAAATTATCAACATAAAAATAAATTATTTAAAAAGCTAATGCTTCATCCTGTCCTGTTCACACAGAACCACAATTATTACCAACACTGAAAGTAAAATAGAAACCATGGTGAACTGTGGCTCAGTATGAATAAACAGAATAACAGAAATGATGAAGAAATGAACTGAATAGGTAGGCTATCATCTGGAAAGTGTGAATAACATGGCATCCTACACAGAATTAATTTCAAAACTACAGTGTCCCGGAAGGAACAAACAACTGAATTTGCTGAATTCTCTGAGGAGTAGCCAGCACTGTAGTGACACTCATTTATTCAGGCTGGCTTACGACTGTTTCAGTCATATATTTTACTTTAGTAAGTTCATTAGTAGTTTACACCATAAACCCTAAATTCATTCAGGTTGTCCCCCTGTGGAGACATTCATGATTCATACCACCAGTCTGGGCTACAGTCACACTGCAGGTCTTAATGCTCAAATCCATTTTTTTGCTGAGATCTTTTTTTTTTTTTTTTTTTTGCGTGGTTGTTCACATTATAATTTAAATGCGAATGCTATCAGACTCACAAAATTATGATGATCGCTTTGAAAAACATCCAATATGTATCCACATATGAAAGTGGCCTGGATCGGTTTGAGCTGTTCAGAAAAAAATTCTGATATGGGTCACATATGGACAAAAAAGTGTGTATCCAAGCATCACAAAAAACGGATGAATGACACAAGATCTCTTTCATCACTTGTACGTGGTTCCTGCATGAGTTACAGTGTGCTTGAGGATATACAAAGTTCTTTATCCTGTTGGTCTGAAGAAAGACCAGTCTCTCTGTTTTGGACTAGCAACATTTCTCCTGAGCAAAGCTGAAGTGGTCCATTGCTGGGCTGGTGAAGATCTTTTATAATCTCGCTCTGGTTCTTTCCTGCAAACAGACAAAAAAAAATCATCAGGGTTTTTTTTTCTGGGCCAGAATTTTACCCTTCAAAACCTTCCTCAGTGGAGGGACAATGAGTCACTGTGGGGGTGGGAAACAGACCAGTGTTGCTACAATAAATCTGTCAAGCTGCCAGCCCCAGGAGCCCTTTTCTGGCCCTCCACCCCCCTCCTTCAGACACTCTGACTGTTGAGGCCTACACACTCATCTTTACTTTCAATTAATGCTCACCCTTTGATACCTCAGGCCTTGTATCTGTTACATCTATCCTTACAGTAATCCTCAGTCTCAGTGAATATTAACTATTCTGCACTCAGAGGTACTATCACATTCAATTTGTATTGGAGTTATTTTTTTAACGATGAGTTGTTGAATAAAATACTATCACCTGACAAATAATGGGAATTACAGTTAACACGCTAACAAACATTACATTAAAGATCAGCCTAATAAAACATGTGTGGTCATATTCACAGGCATATAGTTCCTATTCTCTGCAGAAATAACTGCTGCTACCACTAATAGTAATAAAATAACTAATAGGTGCTGACTTCAATCTGCTATACTGAACAGCTTCAGCAGCGCCAAAGGGTCAAAACTCCAAATTCCCATTGCATGCTGGGACAGAACAGCACATAAAGCATACGGCAAAAAAAAAAAAAAATATATTTATTATTCTTATGTAGGAGCAGCTAAATGTAGCAGTTTACTTTTATTCACCGCTTTTATATGCAGTAAAACAATAATGCTGCAGAAATAAATGGACTGACATGTGGTGTGTATTGTTTCTGGAAATATGACTCATGATCATCATTCAACTTTTATCCCATGGTCTAGTTTTAAAAAAGCAAACACAAATCACAAAACTGAATCACAGTTTATGAAATTGAAAGTATGGTAATCATATCAAATTTGGAAATAAGCATATCGTCCCAGCCCTATTATTATCATTATCAGAAGTTTAGAACTTGTTTCTTTCTCATCAGCAGAATAAACATGGACTATAAGTAAAGCTGCATTTTCTGGAACTTTCTTTGGTCTCAACAGAAATGTGTTCATCATATCATATCATCAGTTCAATCTTTTTCACCAGTTGATGATATATTTAAAAAATAATTACAAGATCACTCACTTTTTTTGTAGCACACATATGATGAAATGAATGCGATGATGATGATGATGATGATGATGATGATGATGAGAGATACAGTTATTCCAACAGCCAAATGATGATACGTCTGGTCTTCACCTGTAAACAGTGGAAATAACAGAGTAATAAATTATTTGACATCCTGCTTTTCCCACAATTCCAGCACCAACAGTAAGTATGCTTTAAACCACACTCTAAACAATGAACAACAGGTTAACATGAAAGGAGAGTGATAGTTGGACTTATTCATCAGGTGGACCACTCCACATGAGTGATCTGAGAGGGTGGGCAACACAATCAGGCAGAACATAAAAAGAGTGAGTGACTGAGCAAGAGGCCGGACAAGAGTAAATCTTGGATTGGCTTTTAAAAAACATCAATTTTTTAAACATTGGTCAATCATTTTCCTTTTTTCCTACACGATCATCAGGTCAAAATTTAACAGATGTGCTAGAATGACTGTAGGCTCCTAAACCCTATTCACACGGGACAAGTATTATCATGGGACCTGATGTGATTTGTAATAATTGTAGAAGATATCTGTGATCTTAATCCCATGCCACGGGGCCTTTTCTGTAATTACACCAACATTACAGTAACTTATAGGCGACGTTACCTCATTGGGCTAACTTCTAGTACTTACTACAAATAAGATGCTGTAATACAGCGAGCTGGCCTTCTTGCTGTTGGATTAGAACGTAATATTAGCTGGCAAACTTGATGTTTGGTTGTGTTAGCAAAGTTGTTGAATCGTTAGTTTTTGATGTAATCACAATAAATGCAGAAAGCTGTCCATATTTATTGAATTAATGTATCTGATCTGCTGCTCTCACCAGAATCATTGATCTCTGCAGTTCCTTTAATCCTCTGGTTGGTGCGAGGGTTGAAGATGATGCAGGTTACAGACTGGAACTCCTTCATACTGACAGAGCTTGTGACTGAGAAGGTTTTCTCTGTTGGATCCTGCTGCAGGGACGTCTCAGCATCCTGCAGGTCCAGCTGTGCAGTGCTGGATTTGTTTAGACCCGTCCATGACACTTTAGGTTCAGGGTATCCTCCATGTGCTGTGCAGGTTGCTCTGTTAGCTGTGTTGTTAACAGTCAGGACTAGATGTTGGTAGGGAGCTGTGAGAGTGACAGAAAGAACAACTGTTGACACACTGGAGACATTCACAGCACTTTGATATGAGGAGATTTTTATTTTGGTTTGGAATAAAGAATCTACTGTACTCACCTGAAACCTGCAGTGTGGATTTGCAACGTTGTTCAGATGGTTTGGGGACGTTTTTCTTGTCGATTAAACGTACATAGACCCAGAATGTTTTGTTGTCATCTCCAACAGTAACATTGTCAAGTCTAATGGAAATATTTCCAGAACTAAACTGAGTACTGAAGACTTGGCATCTGTCCCTGTATTTGTTGGCAATTGGCTGTGTTTGCCCACTGAAACTGTCCCAGTGAAACAAGATGTTGGTGGACTGGTCCTCCTGCCAGTAAAACCATCTGAGACTCAGTGGAGGAACTGGTAGAGAGCAGGGGATCAGGACGGAGCCTCCAGTGGTGGCACTGAGGATCTTTGATATCTCCCCCATTATGGGTGCTGGGGAAAAAAACAGTGAAATATTTGTCAGGAGGAGAAATGGCGCTATCTCAAATGGGCGAAGGCAGTGAAGGATACAACTATGTGGCTACAATTCAACTGACGCAACTCATCCCTTTCGTCTCTCCAGATGCCATGCAGTATTTCTGTCCCTCTGTTTCTTGACACATCAAAATAAATGTTGCTTTTCAGGTTGTTCCTTTTAGTCACAATTTGTAACCTCTCAGTGACTTCTCATATAAATGAGTCAGTTAGTGAAGGAGGATGAACTCACCGCATAGGAGTAAAACAAGAAGTACCACAAGTGACATGTGAGTACTGCAAGACAGAGATAGAGATAGAGACAGAGACAGAGGGTCCTTCAGTTAGCGATAGCTGTCACATTGTGTAACCACATCTTGACAGGACTCGTCTCACTAACGGAAGTGTTAGACAACACAATTTCACACATTTCAGGAGTCACACAAAACTCAGAACATGAATCATATATAACCAGTGCTGGGTAGGAACTCATTACTAGTAATAATATTATTTTCCCCAGTAACTAGTAGTGTAACTAATTCCTAATACATTTCAGTAATAATATTACTGTTACTCCCCTTAAAAAAAAAGAGTTACTATGTTACCTTTCATCATTACTGTTGTTGGCATGTCCGAAATGTCTGAAATCCAACAATCCAATCATATGCTTGGATTTTGGAAGTTTGGAAGATGGAAACATTCAGCACTGGGAAATATTCCATTACTTTGATTTTAACAAACAAAAACTGGATTCTAATTTTTCAATTTTGTGGAGAGCAGCAGTGCAACTAATTACTGTTGGCACTAACCAGATTAATAGTTGTTCCCCCCAGTCCTTCCTGTGAGCACAGCATGACAAAAAGAAACACACACGACTCATTGAAAGACCTCCTTACCCTCTGATTAGTTGCATTTCATGTGATTGACAGCCTTTATCATCAAGTCATAAAGGTGTTTGAGCTTCACTGTGCAGAGTTTGACACTAGAAGGATGTTTTCACATTAATCTGCTTAAGTTTCTCTCCACTTAAAGTATTTTTAACTGTTAAGTTTTTTCCCCCATAAGACACACTGTTAAACATTATCTTATCAATGCTTCATGTGAAGGTAAGCTGTAAGCTGGTAACACAGGTTAAAGGAAGTGGCCAAAAAAAAAATCAGTTAGTGAGCTATTTGCAGACTCCCTCTCGTCTTGTGCAATGTTCATCAAAGGAACATTACCCAGCACAATTGTCTACCACTTGTGGTTTGTAGTGCTGTAATGAAAAGACACAGTGTGTGAGAAGTCTTGTGCATCTGATTTCACATGCACATGCATTCACCGCATTCATGGGAACAGTTTATTAGGCCAGCATAGCTAAAACACATGCAACACTCCTGCTGTTTTACAGAAGCATTGATTCAACTGCATGATCACCGTAAATGCCGAAATGGAAAACAATTGACTATCCAATCACAGTTTAGGGGCGGAGCCATGGGCAGAGCTTTTGACCTCTGACAGGAGCTGATGGTATACATAGGCCTTTCTCATTTCCCAGTCTGTACATCCTCAATCCCTCTCCTCGCCTCTCAGTCCCTCCCACCAGAACTGTGAGCGGAGGCATTTAACAATATGAGACATCCTTCAGAGACAATGGCAGAGCTGCATCATCTGTCCACTGTTTGATGAACATAAAAGTGTTCATAACTGACTAATAACTATTTTATATTGACTTGTAATTCACAACTAATTAACATACCATTAAATCCTCTATTTCATTATAAAGCTTCATTTATTGCTCTCTGACATAGGAAAATAACGTTTTTCATTTTGTTCTGAACTTTCAGTGGAAGTATGAAGCCAAACTGCCTTCATGAAATATGACATTTTAACAATTCCTGTAAAAACACGGAACTCTAGAAACACAGATAAAGGGCGTCGTATGTCGACAGTCTTGGTGTCAATTCGGTGTCAAATAATCCATAAAGATAAACTTAAGCCTCCTCTCTCCTCCAGATGCAATTTATGAATTGAGATGGTACACTAAGATTGATTTCTGAGTCACAGGCTGGAGGACGGAGAGAAGAGGAGGCCCATTTATTACAGTAATAAAAAAGACCCCATGACAGATGAGAAGCTGGAGGGACACCACTACTGACTACAGCTTTAGTTGTGACTGACTGATTGCAGTTTTGAGGAAAGAAAGCTGCACAAACAGACACATTTCATTTTTTATTTGAAGTTTTTAGTTTATATTTCATTAGTTTTGTCATTTTAGGTCACTATTCTAGATCATTTTGTGGGGCGCTCACTTTACGTCTGATATTGTAAACTTCTCAACCACATCCTTTCTTGTGGCACATGTAAACTCTGTGCTCTTTTGTTGCATATATCTGGAGAACTATTGCATCACACATGAAACACTGTCCCTATCTGCCTGCAGGGTCCTGTCAAATGGTTTTATTAAGTGATCAGTAATTTAAAGCAGCCTTAGATTTCTCTTAGTAGTGCACCTGGTTTCTACAAGACTGAAAAACTGAGATTTTCAGTCTTGTAGTCTTCAGGTGTCCGTCATGTACATGAGGACATGGTAACATCTCCCAGTAAGCCATGTCAGTGAGAGAGCATGGTCCAGAACAGTCGTGGCACTTTAGATAAAAGCTATTGTGGTGAATGTAGCATTAAGATTTAGAAATGGATAAAGATGACGCATTAGAAAAAGATTCATGCATAAAGAATCTCACTTACCACAACTGGACTGGCAACTGGCAGTGGCGAAGTGCTGGACGAGGAAGGGAAAGCACAGAGGCAAAGAGAGAGGATTAATAGAGCCAGTCAGAAACGCAAAGGGGGGGTAAACAGCTATAAACACTATAAAGGTCCATCCAGTTCTCTGATTCAGGGCTCCTGGCTGTCCCGTGTTCCAAACTCACGTTCAGAGACTGCAGTTCGGCTCTTGCTGCATACTGATAAGATTGTGACTGACCCCTCCCATCGCACACACAAACTCTCTAAGACACTTCCCTCTGGCAGGAGGCTGCAGTCTAGCAGGACCAAAGCTTCCCCACACAAAAACAGCGGTTTCCCATCTGCAGCCCATCAAAAGCTCCCAGGACCCCCACTGACACAGAGTCTTAAACCAAAAGCCCACCCTCAATACATGCATTACATTAATGCACCTTTTCCCATCTTCAGTTGCTTACAGCTCTGCATCAGCAGTCCCAGCACCAGCAGCAACAGCATCATCCATCTCCGCTGTGGAACGGTGACACACAGCATGATTCCCTGATGGCGAGACTGTTAATGCAAGCAGTGAGCATCTGACCACATAATGGAGTACAGCAGATCAACATAGCAGACTACATCCCCCATCCTTACAAGGGTGGAGCCTGCAGGAAAAACAAACAAGCACATTATAACACTGAGTACATGTTGTAATTCTGCCAGGCCTGCACTGTCGGCTTTAATGACAATCATTTCATTAAATACGTCTCACACAGGAAACGAAATAGGCATCATGCAGCACATTCTCTTACATTTTTATTATATTCTCTCTTAATTTTCATCTCCAGATGCACCAAATGTTCATAACAGTCCGGATCTGCTCTCTCTGCTCTTGATCACACATTAAAGGCATGTGGCTGATAGTTGGTTATTAGCATAAGTTACACCACCTAAACACTGTATAAGTGTTGTGCAATGTGCACATACACAAAAATTGGAGAGAGCAGCCAAAAATGGATAGATAGATGAACCGCCATATTTCTACAGTAGCCCAGAAAAGCCAAAAATACACAAGTAGATAGGGCCTTTCGCACCCACTATAGTCCCTCCTACACACTTCACAGCCTGTTCTCATTCTCAAGTCATCAACTATAGACGTGAGTATGGAGAGAATTTTGTTCCTTTATTATTCAATCAAATGGAATAGATTTGAAACCAAAAAAGAGTAAGTGGCAATCAAAATTTTTTTTTGACAGAACAGGTTGCAATTGAAAAACAAATATGAGAGAACATATTTCTTCAACTTCAATCAAAACTAATGTTTGTAAGTAAAAACATACGACCATTTTGCTTATAAATCAGTCCTCTTTGCTCGCAAGTTATAAAGTTTTGCTTGCAAATTCAACTGCACGCTGGTGGACGAGAGAAGAGTTTCTATTGGTTGGTTTGACCTGGCTACGTCTTACACCCACTTCTACATCATCTAAATCTGATAACTAGATTTTGCAGAGTCTGCATGAGTCATTGTGGTTTGTATGTAAGTTCAACTTCAGTGCATCCAGCTTTGTGCTGCAGGTTGCTGTTCGCTCTGTTAGGTTTCTCTAAATGTTTGAGTTCTGGAAAGGTGTGTGTAAAGATTGCAAAAATGCCTTATAAATAATAAATTAAAGCATAATGTCTGATTTTATAATCACAAGAAAACACACACACACACACACACAGATTTTAAAAGCATTTATTTGCTGCCTCTCAAAGTGCAGCACACCATTTCCCCTTTAGTGTGGTTTAAGGTTCAGTCGACAATGAACGGCATCCTGTGTTACAGTCACAGTTGAGTTACTTGAGTTAACACCCTAAACTGAACACTCCACAGATTTCATTCATTGTACTTTGCACTGTGTCAGACTCACATTTTTTGATTAAGTAATGTCCCTCCTTCTGTCTCTCTCCATTCATCACTTCCTGGCTACACTTGTTGTCTTTGTCTCTAGTTATGCACATATTTTACATTCTTCCCTCTCCTCTCATACTCTTCATAAGTAACATCTACAGGATGGATTACTTAGTGCAGACACTTATGGCTCACAAACATCCTCATGCCTTTGGTGATCCTCTGACGACCATCAACTCAGACATTTACCAAATACCTGCAGAATTTGTTGTGTTCAAGTACATCCTCACAAAGCTGCTAGCATGGCTGTAGACTCACTGACTGAGAACAGTGTTGTGCTGCTACTAGAAGTGATGGCCAGATCTACTTCACTTCACTTCAGATGAGTCACAGCAGAGCGGTCAGACATCAGATAAACCATAACACGTGTAGTTTACAGAGGTTCAAAAACCAACATCAATCACACTTTATTTGTATAGTAACATGTACTATAGTATACACTTTTCCTACAAACAAAAGGCTTCACACCTTAAAAGAAAGCCCTCCCGCACACACAATGTAATAAATGCAATCAATACAACACTGATAACAATGATAACAGCACCCACAAAAAACACAAACAGTGCAAATTAATGAGATAGTATTTCCTCAGAGGAAACACTGGAGGCCAAATGAATCAGAGTGAAAGTGATGAACCAACTACGTCAACTACTACAATTGATTTGCAGTCTATTAATGCTTATGATCAGTTATTTATTTGTGCGTTAGTAAGACAAATATTTTTTTTTGTATATATATATAATTATATATATTTCCCCTTAAAACTGTTCAAACTGTTAAAAGTAGAAATTAATAATGACATTTCAGATAAATGCAATTGAATATTAACAAGGACATTATCAGACAAGAATGATATAAAAGTATATTCTAAACAAGTTGTGGTTCTTTGGACCCAAGTAACTGTACATCTGTACTAAATAGCACCTGATATTGATAAAGCACACGTCTGAGGTGTTGATCACAGTGAAAATAAGTTTCTTTCTGTAACGTTGTTTTTTAAAATGACTGAATGAAAGTTTGATACCAGTTCAACTCCCCTCCCTTCCAGCACCAGTTCTGATCCCAGTAATGATTCATTCTGTTGATTCTTACTATATTGTTGTTTCACCGATCATCAATCATCAATCAATCACACTTTAGTTGTATTAGTCACACACACTATAGTACTATAGTATACAGTTTCCATTCAACAAAATGCTTCACACCTTGAAAACAACCCCATACACACAAAGTAATAACTGTAATCAATAAAACACTCAATGATAACAGCACCCACAATGAAACAAGTAAACTCTATCTCTTCAGTTTGCAGAGAGGAAACACCAGAGGACGGATTAGAAAGAGATGAAAACTTAAAACAAAACAATGATTTAGTAAGTAATAAAATAGATGGAAGTGTAAAACTATACAGACAGATAAATAAATTAAATTAAATTAAATCTCCATTTAACGGCTTTTGTCATGTTCTGCACCATCACCACCAGAAGCTGCATCCTCACCAGTCGAGCTATCAGCACCACCATTCCTCCTCCTCAGTGGAATATTTTCCTCAGGTTGATTTTGTCCTGACATGTTGGGTTGCGCATCGAGAACATTTCCTTCAGCTGGGTCTTCATTTGTATTTGGTGGGTTTTCTGGATTCCAGTTACCCATTTTATCTGGAATTAAGGAGACATTATTCATGTCATGATGATACAAACAACCCCAGCAGTGTAGTGCTAGTCCGTAAACAATGCCTAAAAGTTCAGATACTGCACTCTGACTCTTTAAAGAATTGGGAGGTTCAGAGAAACTGCAGTGTTTCTAATTATTTACAGTCCATAGCTTATAGGAATCAATCAAAGGAAATCAATTACTGAAAGATTGCTATCTTTATCAGTAATAAAGGCTGTCTCACATGCTTGATGTAGCCTTCTTTAGCTGTCTTAGCTGTCTTTCCACAGAGAATAACCTACATTAAGTGTGGAGTCCTACAGCACACAGGTTACTGAGCCAAAATGCAGTAATACACAGCCAGTGCACTAACTGTGTTTTTAGGTTTTTATATTCAGATGCAGGTTCTAACTCAGTTTAACCAAATATGTAGTTTCTGTGTTTGGCCTTTGTAGGACAGTGCTGTAAATCACTCCTTCAACGTATTATTAGTTACAACTGGAGGTAAACTGACACTATGGATTACAGTATCCTTCTGGAAATCTGCACATGAACAGTTTCATACTTTATGGTTTCATAGTTGTGTTTATCCATTTCAGGTCACAAGGTTTCTGTTTGCTATTTGAGTGCATTCCTTTTCACCTGTTGATGATATATTTATATTTAAAATAAGAATAACAACATAGAATGAACTAAGATCACTCACGTTTTCTGTAGCGGTACACTATGAGAATTATGATGATGATGGAAAGAGGTAGGCCGACACCTAATCCAACAGCCAAAGAAGTGTCGCTCTTCGTTTCCTCATCTGTAAATTATTGGAAATAACAGAGTAAGAACGTATTTAACATGCTGCACTGATATTTGATCACATTTTAAACACATTAATGTACTGTGTGTTTGGTATGTAGTGCCACAAGAATACTGAATTCTTTCAGCTCCACAAATCTTCAGTCACTGATTTATTAGATAAACAGAAAACAATAAAAAGAGAAACTTTGAACCACATTATGCTTAGTCTTAACATTATTGTTGAATATGCAAGCATACTACTTTATGTCAGTGATACCATCCCACAGAAATCTGCACTATAAATATATCAATTGAAATATTAAAAGCATTAAAACTTGATTTTGACACAGAGAACTTCTTTATAAATGGGCCTCAAAATAAGTTAAAACTTCAGCAGCCCTTTCTATTTGACTTCATGTCCATTTTACAGACACAGCACAGTAAGTAGATGGCAGGCAGATGAAACGATCATCACACATTAAAAAATGAAAAGTAAACATTGAAGCACCTGGAGACACATCTTTAGTTGCAGTCAGAGTCTGGTTTGAAGTTGGGTTGTAAACTGTGCAGGTCACTTTCTGTAACCCAGTGACGTTGACTCTGCTGCTGATGTTGTAGGTGAGGTCTGCTTCACGAGTCATTGTGGTTTTTTGTGGTTCCAGTTTAGTCCCTCCATCCCCGCTCCATTTGAGTTCAGGTTTAGGGTATCCTCCATTTGTGCTGCAGGTTGCTGTCATCTCTGTTTGGTTTATCTCAATGTTTGGTTTCTGGAAAGGAGCTGGAAAGGGTTTAGTGTTATTTTAGCAGGAATTAGTTTCATGTATGTGTTGTTAACAGTCAGGACTAGATGTTGGTAGGGAGCTGTGAGAGTGACAGAAAGAACAACTGTTGACACACTGGAGACATTCACAGCACTTTGATATGAGGAGATTTTTATTATGGTTTGGAATAAAGAAGCTACTGTACTCACCTGAAACCTGCAGTGTGGATTTACAGTGTTTTTTAGATTCTTTCTCGTCCATTAAACGTACATTGGCCCAAAATGTTTTGTTGTCATGTCCAACAGCAACATTGTCAAGTCTAATGGAAATATTTCCAGAACTAAACTCAGTACTGAAGACTTGGCATCTGTTTTTGTATTCGTCAGCTATTGGTTGTGTTTGCCCATTGGTGTGCCAGTGAAACAAGATGTTGTTGGACTGGTCCTCCTGCCAGTAAAACCATTTGATTCTCCGTGGAGGAACTGGTAGAGAGCAGGGGATCAGGACGGAGCCTCCAACAGTGGCACTGAGGAACTGCCCTGAGATCTGACCGATGGTGGATGCTAGGAAAGAAAACAATTATTACTAGTAGGTGTTTGTACCTTTGAACTGCTTCTCTTGCTAAGATAGCTTAACGCTAAGCTAAGATAAGATAACTCACTGCTGGCTATAGCTTTATATGTATTATAATTACAATCTTCTCATCTAACTCTTTCAAGTGAATCCATTTCTTTTTCCAAAATGCTTTGGCTGCTGTGTTTATCATCACACTGCACAACTATCAGTATCAGAAGCAGCTAATTACTGCTAACCAGTTATCTTGGAGTGAACGTTGCAGAGGCTTTCAGATGATCCTTTCTCATGTTTATTCAGCTTAAGAAGTAGGACAGTTTTCTAAACCCAATAAGGAGCACTTAATCTTCTGAAGTAAGCTGAGATACATGGTTGAGGTAATGTTAATATGAACATCCAGGTACCAGCAACAGACAAAGCCAGAGACACAAATTATAATATAAAAAAATAAATAGATAATTTAAATGACAAATTTACAAATGTTTTTTTTTTTAATCAAAGTTAAATTCAGAACTTCAAAATCAAAATATGTTACTATTTCCATTCCATTGACATAGACATATTTAATCCACAACAATAAAACCAATATATTACATATACTACAACTGAAACAGGTCAAACCAGTTATTGTGTCTAGTTACAGTATATTGTGCTATCAGGGAATGAGTGAATACCAAAATAAATACCTTACCAGATAGAAGTAAAATCAGCAGGATTGTAGAATACATGTCTGAACTGCAAAACAAAGATAAAACAGAATAACTCCTCTATCTCCCTCATTAACTGGAGTGGGTAATAAACTATCTGACTAATCATAAAAATGTGTTCAACTATAGAAACTGATTTTGCTGTAGTATATTTATGAGTTAGGTTAAGTTACATTCTTTGTACCCGTAGATACATTTGGTTACAGTAAAACAAAAGTATTTTTAACAACAAACAACTCAGAAAACAGACAGACAACATACTCTGAGTGGATTTACATAGGTTAAGAACCCATCCTGGCTCTGAATGTTAAATAGTTAGTCTCAACACAGAGCTCACTGTCACGTACAGAAGCAGAGAGTTCATCAGAAAACAATCAAACTATTGAGGTATTCTTCTTCAGTAACTTTCCTTCTGCATTAGTTAATCTTCCACAGCAGTTGATTCAGAGGATTAAAGGTGGCTTAGTAATAAAATAAATCAATAATATCTTACCAGACAGGATGGCAGACAGGAGTTGCTTCATGAATCCAACCGTGAGGTAGAAACAGTTTTGAGTCTAGCTGCAAAGAAGTGTTTCTTCCTCCCGTGCCAGCAAGATATAGGTCAGTGAGGTCCCTCCCTCTCTGTCTCTCACACTTACACAGGAAAATAACTTGTGCAATAACATATTCATTGTCATTCGTCTTTTTTTTGGTTTGGTTTTGGTTTCATTTTTGTCACTGTTTGCAACTCTTGGTTTGATTGAAACAGGTCAAAGTTTTATTTGTCCAACACTTTATGACCAAATACCTACATCCTCACAGAGCTGCTAGCATGGCTGTAGACTCTTTGACTGAGAACAGTGTTGTGCTGCTACTAGAAGTGATGGCCAGATCTACTTCACTTCACTTCAGATGAGTCACAGCAGAGCGGTTAGACATCAGATTAACCCTGCCCCTCTAACCACTCCCTCCATGTATCACTTCTTGGCTACACTTTTGTCTGTATCGCTAGATTTGCACATATGTTAAATTCCTCCCTCTCCTCTCGTACCTTCGGCCTCCCTTATTTACACCTCTTTGTTGTCTTTTTTCCACAGGACAACAGGAAATGCCTCATTTGTGTAATATTTTGGAACACAGTAACACCACCAGGTGTTGACAGGTGCTGTTTTACAGGTTGCAATAAGGGATGATTAACCACATTAAAGCACTGCACTGGTTTACTCTAATGCAGTGGGTGTGGCTCTACACTACGTACAGATACTGTATCCATGGTGCCCAGAGGATGAATCATAATGAGTTTCACCAGCAGATCAACATTTTTATTTATCTTGGGCCATTTTTTCAGATCGGGGTCAACTTTTCTGAGCTTTCGCACCACAAACAAAGGAATTCCTGCAGGATCACAATGTCACACACATCTGACTTAATGAACTGTCAGTACACAAAGTAGGACACACACAACAAACCACAGAAAACAGCTGTATTCACACTGACAAACATTGTTACAAGGGTTACCAAAGGATTTACATAAAGATATAAATTGCTGTTACAGATCCTTTGAGATCACTTTCTGAACAGTTCACAGTCAGGAGATGATATTAAACAGTTGGTTGTTTGTTTTCAGACCACAAATGAAATGAGGACAGAGACCCACATTTTCAGATGGTCTCTATCTGGTTGTTTATCAGCACCAGAGATTTCTCCCACCAGTCCCAACAAACCAAACTAAACAGGCAAACGTACCACAGTCTGTTTGAACACAAACTAAAACTGCTGTCTGAATAGTCCTCAGGATGATGTTGTTCATCTGCGGTAGTTCTTTAGCTCCTGTTTCTGCCTCCTGCACCAGTTCTGATCATAGCTTTGGCACCCAGTGGGTAGAAATGGATTATAAGTAACACACAAGTAAAAACGTAAGTTTTTTATAGTATTTAAATGCTACTTTTTAAATATGTATATAAATAATTATACATATAACGTATTAAATTAAATGTATATAGTACCACTCAGTCTACTTTTCAATAAGCTGCACTTGCCATTTATACCTTTGTTTCAACTACAAAGCGTGCAAGGAGCACCCCTGCGGCAGATGCCAAGTTGCTTCTGCCTGGAAGAAATAAAAGCACCACTTGTCATTTGACCACAATGGACACAAAACCCAGAACAGAGGGCAGCTTCCAGTTACAATCGCTGGCCACATCTGTCAACTTTAGGTATCACAATCTTAAAAAAGACCACAGTTGCACTCAGTGCTTGATGTACCTCAAAAACAATAATAATAAATAATGACAATATTAACGTTACTTTCAGATCTGCAGTAGTAATCCCATCGTAAAAATATTAAAATGGAAAGTAACTTGTACTTGTTAATTAATTATTAACAAGGTACTTTTTAACTTTTAGGTTTCTCAAATGGTACTTTTCACTTTAACTTGAGTCATTTTTTATTGGAGTAGATATTTTCTACCAGCCAATGCTGCTTACTCTATTTTCCCTTTTTCACTTTATGAGCTGCTTGTTTCATGACCATTTTTGCTCAATAACGGTTTTGCTGCTCCCTGCTCTGCATTAGCACCAGCAGTGTCCTCATCAGACGAGCTGTCTGCAGCAACATGCTTCCTCCCTGTGGAACGGTGAAACACAGCTTGATTGGGTCCTAGTGAAACCCTTTCCGCAGATCTGCTTCCTCCTGACGTGTTGGAATGAGCATCGGAGGCATCTTCTTCAGCTGCGTCTCCTCCTGATGCAGATGCTGGAATTACAGAGAAATGTTTCAGTCATGATCATGATCAAATGAAAAACAGTAGTGCAGTGCTCCAGGTATGGACGTCATACTTTTCCTTCCTCATGTACAAGATACATATTTTGTAGCTTGTGTTTAATGTATGTTAAATCCACTATAATATTTTGTGAATAATAACTACAGCAACATGTGCTATAATTTCCATAAAACCATAATTTGAAATGATGCTTGGTATCAAACACTATATTTAGGTTAAACTATGTTTTGTAAAAAAACGGATTAGAAAGAGATGCAAACTCAAAATAAGAAAATAATTTAGCAAGAAATGTGTAAATAGATAAATAAATAAATAAAAAAATATTAAATCTCCACTTAACTTTTTTTTCCACATTCTGCACCACCACCACCAGAAGCTGCATCCTCATTAGTCAAGCTTTCAGTACCACCATTCCTCCTCCTCAGTGGACTATTCTCCTCAGGCTGATTTCGTACTGACACGTTGGGTTGAGCATCAGGAACATTTCCTCGGGCTGGGTCTTCATTTGCATTTAGTGGATTCCATTTACGCTTTTTATCTTGTATTAAGGAGACATTATTCATGTCATGAGACACAAACAACCCCAGCAGTGTAATGCTAGTCCATAAACAATGCCTAAAAGTTCAGATACTGAACTCTGACTCTTTAAAGAATCGGGATTTTCAGATAAACTGCAGTGTGTGTTCACTCAGCTTTCTTATCCAGTTGAACCAGTTTGTTTGATAAAAAGTTAATGAAGTTTGATTATTATTTACAGTCCATAGTTTACAGGAATTTGTCTGACAACAGGATACAATAATTTACAATTTAGTCCGTGCTTAACCTCCAGTGTAGTTTCATACTTTCAGCCTAGTTGTGTTTGTCCATATCAGGTCAAAAGGTTTCTGTGTGATATCTGAGGTAATTCATTTTCACCAGCTGATGATAAAATAGCAGTTACAATGCAGCATAAACAAAAGATCACTCACAATACACACATATCTTGATGCCGATGCCGATGAGGATGAGGATGATTACAATTCCAGTTCCAATAAGCCAATATTTCCACTGCGGGTTCCCAACTGTAAATTAGGGTAAATAACAAAGTAATACATTATTCAGCATGCTGTACTGATACTAACAATATTTTAAACACATTAATGTACTGTATGTTTGGTATGTAGGGCTCAAGAACATTGAATTCTTTCAGCTCCCCAAATCTTCAGTCACTGATTTTATTACTTAAATGAATCTGTTGGATCGGACCACACGGGCCAGCCTTCGCTCCCCACGTGCATCAGTGAACCTTCACCGCCCATGACCCTGTCTGCAGTTCTTCTCCTTCCTTGGACCACTTTTGATAGGTACTGACCTCTGCAGACCAGGAACACCCCACAAGAGCTGCAGGTTTGGAGATGCTCTGACCCAGTCGTCTAACCATCACAATGTGGCTCAGATCCTCACGCTGCCCATTTTCCCTGCTTCTAACATTTCAACTCTGAGGACTAAATGTTCACTTGCTGCCTGATATATCCTACCCACTGACAGGAGCCCTGATAACCAGATAATCAGTGTTATTCACCTGTCAGTGCTCATACTGTTATGGCTGATTGGTGTAGGTGTCCTTTATAGTCGCAGCTCAGTTACTTAAGTCTACGTCTTTACATACAGTAAATAGCAGAAGCATCAACTACAAACAAAAACCCTCAAACACAATGACAAGAACAAATAAAAAGACTTTGAACCACATTGTGCATTCATATTGAATCTTAACATTATCGTTGAATATGCAAGCATATTGATTAACCCAGGTTTGCTTTATGTCAGTGATAATACCATCTCACAGAAATCTGCACTATAAATATATCAATTGAAATATTAAAAGTATTAAAACTTGACTTTGACACAGATAACTTCTTTATAAATGGGCCTCAAAATAAGTTAAAACTTCAGCAGCCCTTTCTATTTGACTTTATGTCCATTTTACAGACACAGCACAGTAAGTAGATGGCAGGCAGATGAAACGATCATCACACATTAAAAAATGAAAAGTAAACATTGAAGCACCTGGAGACACATCTTTAGTTGCAGTCAGAGTCTGGTTTGAAGTTGGGTTGTAAACTGTGCAGGTCACTTTCTGTAACCCAGTGACGTTGACTCTGCTGCTGATGTTGTAGGTGAGGTCTGCTTCAGGAGTCATTGTGGTTTTTTGTGGTTCCAGTTTAGTCCCTCCATCCCCGCTCCATTTGAGTTCAGGTTCAGGGTATCCTCCATTTGTGCTGCAGGTTGCTGTCATCTCTGTTTGGTTTATCTCAATGTTTGGTTTCTGGAAAGGAGCTGGAAAGGGTTTAGTGTTATTTGAGCAGGAATTAGTTTCATATATGTGTTGTTAACAGTCAGGACTAGATGTTGGTAGGGAGCTGTGAGAGTGACAGAAAGAACAACTGTTGACACACTGGAGACATTGACAGCACTTTGATATGAGGAGATTTTTATTTTGGTTTGGAATAAAGAAGCTATTGTACTCACCTGAGACCTGCAGTGTGGATTTACAGTGTTTTTTAGATTCTTTCTCGTCCATTAAACGTACATAGGCAAAGAATGTTTTGTTGTCATCTCCAACAGTAACATTGTCAAGTCTAATGGAAATATTTCCAGAACTAAACTCAGTAGGGAAGACTTGGCATCTGTCCCTGTATTTGTCAGCTATTTGGAGTGTTTGCCCACTGGGCTCCCAGTGAAACAAGACATTGTTGAACTGTTCCTCCTGCCAGTAAAGCCATTTGAGACTGAGTGGATGATCTGATAGAGAGCAGGGGATCAGGACGGAGCCTCCAACAGTGGCACTGAGGAACTGCCCTGAGATCTGACCGATGATGGTTGCTAGAAAATAAAACAATGAAAAATGTATCAGTAGGAGGAGAAACTGTGCTTCAGGTGAGTGTCTTTAAAGCAGTGATTCTCAAAATTTTTCAGTCATTCCCCACCTTGGACAAGGGGGAATTTTCAAGCCCCAACTGCCCCCATCGCCCCAACACAATGCTAATGAAATACGCAACAAGCTTAAAATGTTCCAATTTATTGAAGTAACAAGTAGTATTTAAATACAAAGTATGTACATCAAATAACAGCAAGTTCAAAAATAAAGAAAATAATAGTGCCACTTTGCAATCTGATAAAAAAAAGAAAAGAAGAGAAATCCATTTGGCAAGACAGGTCTATTTATCCCTGCATTAGTGTACACAACAGGCTGTCAATAAAGCTCTCAGCTACAGAGAAAGTCGGCTGTTGGTTGTACAAATATGAACTTATATTGTCACTACAAATTATAGAATATAATAATTATTAAATATAATATATTCTCAGCATTATGGTAATTGTGGAGAAACAGCGCATTCACTTTCGGTTTTCAAAATAAAGGTATTAAGATCAGTAAGCTATAATTCGAACCTACATTTAAAATAAAATATGTTACATTAAGTGTTTCATGCCGCCATGATGAATAAAAAACATACTTAATATCAAGCATTTTTACGGCACCAAGAAATTCAACAATAAAAGTCCATATTTGTACAACCAACAAGCTGAGAGCTTGATTGACAGCCTGTTGGAATCAACACATGGCTCATTTGAATATTTAAATTAGCCATGTGTTGATAGGTCACTACACGAAAATGTAACTAATTGCTTATTACTTTTTTTGCCACACATTTTTAGCCAATAAGTATTAAACTAACAAGGTAATGTGTCAAAAGGCAGATTTTTTTCAGATCTAGTTACAGTGTGTTGTCCTGTCAGGGAATGAATGAATACCAAAATAAATACCTTACCAGATAGAAGTAGTAGTAGTAGCAGGCGTGTAGAACACATGTCTGAACTGTAAAACAAAGATAAAACATAACAAACCCTGAGTGGGTAATGTGTCTGAGGAAGACTAATTATTGTAGTGCCGGTTTAGAAAAGGGTGATGAAGAAGTATTAGGTCATAGTAAAATAGCTCACTTACCCTATAAAATTGTGCCACACCTGAGCACGGTTGTTCTTCCTCTTGGCACATCCACCTCTGAGTGCTGTAAAGAAAAGACAGACAGGCAGCGGGTTAGTGGCCCTGCCTTTACAATCAGCAGGCTGTAACTATTACAGTAGTGCAGGAGCAGGAAATAGGGACTGGAGTGTTTAAGTCACCCTGAATAAGAGATTTAGTATCAGTAATATCAAGTTTACACTATAAGAGAGGACACCAAGTCTCACTCTGTCCCTGAGTGAAGGCCAAGAACAAAGTGGAAATGTCTCGACAGTGAAAAAACTCTCGCAGCTTGTGTCAAAAGAAGAATACCACAGGACTAATGACATCTGGTTCGACAGTTTTACTCCAGACCTGCTGGTGAGACTGGGTCCAGTTCTCTGATGTCTTTAAATATTAATGAGCTTGAACAACAGAATCAGCTTTATTGGCCAAATACATGAACTCATTCAAGTTATCCAGTTACTCTCAACTGACTTTAAAAATATAAGTGTAATATATTATATATATATATATATTTATATGACAGAAGACGTGTTTACCTCCTGCTCTCATACTTTCAAACCTCCACAATTGTCTCCCTAACTTTTACAAAGAAAAACAGACTAACTTAAGGACTGCCTGACATGGCATGAGCGAAACCACAAGCGGCCCGTTTGGCAGAATTCAAGATGGCCTCCTCTCTCATAGCTAAAATTGGTCTGGTGCACGCCACTGTGACCGGCCTTCAGCATTGTAACAGCGGTTCCTTAAGTGCACTCGTTTGTTTAGTTTTATACAATCTGCAATCACAGCTGTTCTCTTGTGGGTGCTCTGCTGTGTCTATTACAACCTTAGCAAAGATCTACCGACACATATAACAGAAGGTTTCACTTTCTCACAAATAAACTGCTTTTAACAACACAGGTATAAAAGTGGATGACTGAACTAAGAATAGTAAACATGCAAATAAGCAAAACCTACCAAGTAAGACGATATCAGATAGATGTGAATTTGTTTTCCATTCCGACCTAAAGCGAGGAACAACTCACTGCTCTGTATCGAATGAATGGAGGAAGTACCGCTCTTGTCCTGACTCTGACGTTTCAACCTCAGGTTGGTTTCAGATGGGAAACAAAATACAGGTCAGACGTTCTTCAAGAAATAGACTGAAAAACTGCTTTTATATCCATAATTATTGTAGGTTATTACAAGACACTGACAGCAACTTAAACGTGCTGACAGCTGCTTCTTGATCGGATAGGGTCGCTGGCAGAGTGACAGGAAACTGATCAGACACATTCCAGTAAATAAAATAACTGAAAATAAGTTCCTGAAAAGTGACTGTGACATTGTCACCACAACCCCAGAAGACCACCTGTCATCTGACAACAAACAAATGCTTACTGAGAGTGGAGACGAAGCAGCAGCAGATCCTGAGTCAGCTGCAAACAATATTCCCTCGGTCAATTTCTCCTTAAAGGTGAAAGACAAGTTAGCGCCTGCACTCCTCTTGTGTTCTCTTAAAGTGTGTAAGGTATGAATGACGTGAATCAAAGCATAGCGGGATGTAGCCAGAGGGTTCAGACGCCGCCCAATCAAACAATATCTGTTTGGCTGCATTCTTTAAATTCATTACATTTTTCCACAATTTTTTTTCTTCAGTTGTTTGACACAATGAATGAAAATCCTTATTACCAGACCAGTGTGCGTGATTCCCAAATCCAAAGTTGTCCCAGCTACTGCCGTGCCTCTGGTTATTTTGCATGTGTCTCTCTTCCTCTGTGTATCTTGTTTTCCCCTGTGTTGCTGTGTGTGTGTGTGTGTGTGTGTGTCTAGGTGTGTGTGTGTGTGTGTGTGTGTGTGTGTGTGGGGTTTGCCCTCCCTCCTTGCTCCCCTGCATACTTGTTTACCAGCACACCTTTATTTGCACACCTTTATTTTATAGACAAAACAATGTCAGCTGACAGAGCGACAACGTTGAACAGCGGAGGTGGTTGGGATGGATGGATGGAGATCTCGTGCCAAACCAAATGTCAGCATTGACTTCATTATTGCGTTATTGTGTAACATATTGAAGTTAGGCAATGTACCATAACTTACGTTGGCCTATATAACACAGACCTAGTTGGTTCGGTTCAGGAGAACATCTTGGATTGGGTAACAGTAAGTAGGGGAGACCCGAGATGGTTGTAACACAATTTCTTCAATTAGGAATGAGTTACAAATCACCTGATTCACTCTGCACATGCTCAGTTTAGTGTTTATTGTTGCACACATACACACACACACCAGCTCGCCCCTCTCCACCTCCACCTTTTCTGTAGCTCCCTGTATGTGTCTCTGTTCACTTTCTCCAGCAGTATGTTTCATAAAATCACCCAAAAAGCACAATTCAGTTTTAACATCAGCAGGTGAGCGGCGAGTGGAGGAGACTCGTAGCCTATCGAAACAATCGAAACCAACGTGGTGGACATCGGTACCGGCTGATGTGTTTACTGCTGTTCACTCCTTCTTTATCTGGTCTGTGCTTGTAAAATATCCACCGTATGTGCACCAAAAAAACATGTCATATCTCATGTTCCTGTAGACATGTCAACAAGGCTTTGATTGTGTTGTGTTTATCAATGGAAACCATCTGCCATCTACCATCACCCCTTTGTCCTCTGCTCCTGCCAGCCAACTTCTCCTCATCTCTCCTACAGAGAGGGTCCCTAAAACTGTAATAAATATTTCACACAAAATTCAAATCATCCACGGGAGCGTTGAGTAAGGCTTGTTAGTCAGAGTGGATGACTAACAATTTTGCATGACTCATGCACGCCTCTCAATACGCTCCTTGTGTAAATCTTTATATGCAAAATATTTAAGGCCACTGCTACCAAAATGTTTCATAAACTTCAATAATAAACAGGCAGGGAGAGGGGAAGATGTACGTATAACCATTAACCCTTTTGAAAAATCCTGCCATTGTTTCCTGCTATGGACAAATCGAAACTATTTGCACCCAGTGAGCGCAGCTTGAAGGTCTTTTCAGACAGAGAGTGATTGAAGCACCTTGTAATTAATTTACAATGAGAGACAAGCAGAAAGCAAATGGAGGCACGTGCCATCTGCCAGGCAGAGTAACAAGCTGGCACCATCCTAGCTGTATCCCGAGTATTCCTATGTCTCAAATATTACAAAAGCTCACTCATAATAAAGTGAAAGAGGGGAAAAGAACAGTAAACAAATATATCCGTAGAAGAGGGAAAATATTTCATGATGCCATGTAAGTATTGGAAATGTCCAAATACAATATAATAACAATTTGGGATCGTTTCGGAAAGACGTGGAGAGAGCCCGAAAGTATATTCTGGACTTAAAAGAACCTTTGAAGTTAGAAGATATGTTATAGTAATACATTACGAGGACGGCTACAACTGGCCAACGTACATCTTTATAATATATTGGAAATGACGGTCATGAAGCAGGTGACAAGGACATGGAAACCACCACAACTAAATGCATGCAAAACTTGAGACTTGAGATATACTGTTGTACATGTTGAAAATGTACTTTTACGAGACCAGATAGGATGTAGGCTACCCCAAAGATAGAACCCATAAAATGTTATATTACTTTAAAAAAGTAAGACAAGTTAAATAAATGTTAGCTTTAATTTTTTAATTTTGGACATAATCACATACTACATGATCTGTGATGCATGATAAAAAGGGAGTGTTTCAACTCATATATAATGGCAACAGGCAGGGGCGGTTGGCACATAAACCTACCTGGCCTGTGTGAACTGACTCATGCTTATGAGCCCTATATTTCATGTCACTTCACACTTCTAACTTCATGTGCCTGGTGCCCTTCCCCACCCACAGCAAATCAGAATCAGAATCAGAATCAGAATTTGTTTATTGCCAAGTAGGTTTTTATGCCTACGAGGAATGTGACCTGGTGCAGGAGCTATGCTACGGTAACTTGGTGTCCTCTCCCTACCTGTAGCAATAGTCCCTTCCCCTGCTACTACCTCTGAGCTGGGAGACATCAGGGACATGCTGCACACCCTGTGCTCCTGGCTTCTGTTCTGCTGCATCCTCAAACCACCTTCTTACTTCTAATATGGAAATACATGATCAGTTACAATGGTGGTAGTAGTAATAATAGCAATAGTAATAGTCAGTGCAATGGTAGTACTTGAAAATGTAGCATTATAATAGTAATAGTAGCAATAGTTATAGTCAGTTTAATGGTAATAGTAATGGGAATGGTACAAACCTTCATGAAATTCATCGTCAATCGTATTAATGTAAATAGTTGTGTGTCTTAATATTTGTCTCACTATATCGGTTCAATTGGATTATTTTAATGTGTTCATTTCATATAAGCTGCTGGAATATTCAGTCGTACACAGGAGGCTATATTACGTATCACGTATAACGTTTCCATAGCTTGTTTGAAATGCACATCCCTCAACACGAGGCCAGCTGTTGTTTTTCTTCATCGCCATTGTCCTTGGTTGTGTAACCGGCTGTGGCATTGTTTTTGTGAGTGAAGCTGCTATTAGTACTGCTTTAAGTTAGCACGCACGTCGCATTCAAGTTGCACTCGGGCCTAGACTGAAAGTAGTTGTTGTTGGTTTGCTATCTGTGTTATTTAAAGTTAGAGGTAAAAGAGGTGATAACTGTCTAATATATTAACAGATTCCTGTAACCTGCATAATAGTAGCTGTTGATTATTTCATACCAGCTTACGTTTATGGCTGAGAGAGTTTTCACACAGCCTGTCATTAACAACCTGAATGTTGTTGTGCTGTGTCCAAAATGATCTGCACGCGTTCAGAAAAGAAGCTTTCATTTAAGTCATCTGATGTGGTCACTCACTGTGAGACAAGATGCAAATGTCAAAGCTTGCTCAGCTCATTTACAAACCAAAGCTCAGTAAACGTAGTTCCTTGTCCTTTTTCCAGTTTCCAGCCTAGCACACAGACAGCCACATTTACTTAAAGGAAACAGATGTGACTACAGATATACTGTACGTGTTCAGATATATGAATCTTTAAAGCTCTTTTAGTTCGTACAGCATAAACCAGACTACAGGGACATTTTAGTGGTGAAATGATTAGGTTGCAGTGAGTGTAAAGACAGTGATAGAGGTCAGTGGTAAGCAGTTGTTTGATAAGGAACTAACCACTTGTCAAATGCTGTCGTCAGACCTCTAGCCACATTGTGAACTTCTCACAGCACAACTCTGCCCACGGTACTTCCATTTCCCCTTTGCTCTTTTTGAGAAAATAGTAGGTAAGGTACAAATGGGAGCATCTTTGGCTGATATTTAGATTTATTAGACACAGATGTTTTTCTGTGGTTGTTACATCATTATTGTTGTTGGTGGAGGTGCAAAACCATAACCAGGAACACTGTCTGTCCTCATAATAAACCTCCAGTGTTGACTTTCATGCCCTCTATGCAAACAAGGTGAGCCTGTTATGATGCCCACAGTGTGAAAGCTTCAGGTTTACAGCTCAAATAAAACATGCCTCACACTACCACATGCAGGGCCCATTCAGGCGCATGATTTTTAGAGGATGTGGTCACTACGGAAACTTTAAATTAAAATACTTGTGCATCAGTTGCAGCTACTGTGCATGCTTCGTCCATTTTATAGAGAGTAAACACAAGATCAGAGCAAAACTTTACTTTACTCAAGCAGAACTACAGATACTTGTGTAAAAAAAGAGTACAGAGTCTCCCTCTTTGTCTGTTTTATCTTGTTTTGTCTGTCAAGCGTGATATGCACTGGTCTCAATGTTGGGAAGGTGCAACATGACGCAAACATGAATGATTATTGATCATTTCCCTCAAATACATTAAAAGTAAAGTAATGCACCTGTTTTGAAAATGAAGGGAATAGAAAGAGATTTGGCCAAAAGAAAAAACTACATACTCAACTACAGTACAGATACCTGAAGAAAGTACAGAAATGAATAGATAATGTGATATCACTGTTTTCATGTCAATATCAGCTTGCATGTTTCAGTCAGTGGAGACAAGTGAATGAAGTAAACGTAATTGTTTATTACAACATGATGTTTAATGATTAAATATTTTTTTTGTGATCAATTTTTTATTGAAAATGTACAACATATATATATATTCACATCATATACACTGTTTTTTTTTTCTCCCTACACAGCAATGTAAACAGAAACAAAGTCTCTTGTACATCCTTAGGAAGGCAATAATATTAGAACCCATTTGAGTATTTCTGCATACTGGGGTCCCTAAACAGTACTGGAATTGCAGAATTGGGTATGACTGGAAAGTCGAGACTTGTGGTTTCAGTGAGCCTAATTATATTCATGTGTGATGATGTGTGTCTCCATAGCTGCAATTTTGTTTATCAAATTACTTCTTTTGTGACAATTAATTAATTAATGCAATTATAACCTAAAGCTGTTATTTGTACTACAGGCGAAAAGACAAGGATCATACTGATGCAGTTCTCAGTTGTGATTCTGGTTTTTGCTTCACAAGTTTTCAAGTTGGTCTTAAAGGACCAGTGTGTGGGATTCAGTCGTATCTAGCGGTGAAGTTGCAGACTGCAACCATTAGAATACAGCTCGGCCTTCCAAGAGTATAGGAAAAATGACGGTGGCCTCCAAAGGCCCCTATCTTTAGTTTATCTGTTCGGGACTACTGGAGAAACACTGTAGACTCTGTGGATGAGGAGACACTCTGTCTGAAGATAAAAATGTCTCAGGGGTCAAAGAAAACACAAACACACAACAATTCTGATTTTTTGGTGATTAGGGGACATCAATG